AATCTTAACCTCCTAGAAAAAGAAGAATAAGACAAACTCAAAGCTCATAGAAGGGAGGAAATTATAAAGATGAGCAGAAATCAATGCAATGGAGACTAACAGAACAATACAAAAAATCAGTAAATTGAAGAGTTGGTTTTTCAAAAGAATAAATAAAATTGATAAACCCTTAGCCAATCTTATCAAAAAAGGAAAGAAAAGGCTCACATCCATGCAATTAGGAATGAAAAAAGTGAAATCACAACAGATCCAGCAGAAATCCAGAGGACCATAATACCTACTTTGAGAACCTGTACTCTAATAAAATGGAAAATACAGAAGAAATAGACAGATTCCTGGATACATATGAATTACCAAAATTGAAGGAAGAAGATATAAAAATTCTAAACACCCCAATTACAATCAGTGAAATTGAAAACATAATTTGAAATTTACCAACAAAGAAAAGCCCAGGTCCCCATGGTTACACTGCTGAATTCTACAAGACATTTTGAGCAGAACTATTGCACTACTCTTTAAACTTTTCAATCAAATTGAAAGAGAAACAATATTTCCAAATTCATTCCTGGAACCAAGTGTTACTTTGATTCCAAAACCAGGGAAAGACCCAACCAAAAAAGGGAACTACAGGCCAATCTCATCTCCGTAATGAACATAGATGCAAAAATCCTCAATAAAATACTGGCAAACAGAATACAGCAGGTCATCAAGAAGATCATAAACCATGACCAACACAGATTTATCCCAGGGATGCAAGGATGGTTTGACATACGTAAATCAATAAATTACACTATATTAACAGAGTCAAGGACAAAAACCATATGATCATCTCAATAGATGCAGAGAAAGCATTTGACAAAATTCAACACGCATTGAATAAACTCATGATAAAAACCGTACAGAAAATTGAAGTAGATAGTCTTTATCTTAACTTGATAAAGGCTATCTATGACAAACCACCAGCCAACATCATACTAAATAGTTAAAAACTGAAAACGTTCATGCTAAAATCAGGAACAAGACAAGGATGCCCATTATCACCACTCCTGTTCAATGTAATCATGGAAACATTAGCCACATCAATTAGATAAGAGAAAGAAATAAAAGGAATAAAGATAGGAAAAGAAGGTAAACTGTCATTATTTGCTGATGATATAATACTCTATACAGAAGACACAAAAAGCTTCACCAAAAGACTTCTAGGGTTAATTGACAGATTCAGCAGAGTAGCTGGATACAAGGTAAACACTCAAAATTCAATAGCTTTCTTTTACACAAATAACAGACTCACTGAGAGAGAAATTAGGGAAACAGTCCATTTCACAATAGCATCCAAAAAAATGAAATATCTAGGAATCAACCTAATGAAGGAAGTAAAAGACCTCTACATTGAGAACTACAACACTCTTAAAAAAGAGATTGAAGAGGATATCAGAAAATCGAAAGACATCCCTTGTTCCTGGGTAGGAAGAACCAATATAGTGAAAATGGCCATACTTCCAAAACTGCTATGCAGATTCAATGCAATCCTGATTGAAATCCAACAGTATATTTCACAGAACTAGAGAAAACAATCCAAAAATTCATTTGGAACCAGAAGAGACCTAGAATAGCAAAAGCAAGAGACATGGCAGGTGGTATCACAATCTCCAACTTGAAACTATACTACAAAGCCACTGTGATAAAAATGGCATAGTACTGGCAAAGAAAAAGACCTGAGGATCAGTGGAGTAGATTAGAACACGCAGAAACAACTCCAGACATACTCAGCTACCTCATCTTTGACAAAGGAGCCAATCATCCTCACTGGAGGAAAGATAGCCTCTTTAATAAATGGTGTTGGAAAAACTGGATTTCTACTTGCCAAAAATTAAAACTAGACCCCTATCTGTCACCATGCACTAAACTAAAATCCAAATTGATTAAAGATCTAAATATTAAAACAGAAACACTAAACTTGCTGGAAGATAATTTAGGTAAAACTCTTGAAGACATTGGCATAGGAAAAGACTTTATGAACAAATCCTCAGTAGCATGGGAACTAGCACAAAGAATCAACAACTGGGATCTCACCTTGTTAAAAAGCTTCTGCACTGCAAGAGAAACCACCAACAGAGCTAAAAGGCAACCTACAATGTGGGAAAAAATTTTTACCAGCTGTTCCTCAGACAAAGATCTACTATCTAGAATATAGAAGAACTCAAAAATATCAGACCTCCCAAATACAAAGACCCAATTCAAAAATGCACATCTGAAATGAACAGACATTTCTCAGACAAAGAAGTAGAAATAGCAAATAAATATGTGAAAAAATGTTCAACATCACTGGTTATTCCAGAAATGCAGATGAAAACAACGCTGAGATTCCAACTCACCCCAGAAAGAATGGTTGCTATCAAGAAATCAACCAATAACAAGTGCTGGTTGGATTGTGGGAAGAAAGGAACCTTTCTTCATTGTTGGTGGGAGTGCAGACTGCTACAACCACTCTGGAAATCAATATGCAGATACCTCAAACAACTAGGATTGGAAGTCCCATTTGACCGAGCAATTCCCCTGCTGGGTATCTTCTGAAAAGAATTAAAAGAATCATACCACAGTGATATATACTCACCCATGTTTATAGCAACACAGTTTGTAATAGCTAAAACTTGGAAACAGCCCAATTGTCCATTAACTGGAAATTGCATAAAGAAGATGTGGTTATTTTATAAAATGGAGTACTACTCAGCCATAAAGAACCATAAACTACAGACATTTATAGCTAAGTAGATGCACATTGAGGCCATCCTCTTAAGTGAAATAAATAGGACACACATGTGTAAATACTGAATAGTTCCTCTAGTGTGAGAAACTGAGAGTGTAAATAAGGATTAAAAGGTATAACTGATATTGTGAAATAGGAAGAAAAGGTCTAAAGGAATAGGGGAAATGGGAGGGATAGGGGAAAGGAAAGAAGGGAAAAGAAAAATATGAGGAAAGGAAAAAATGGAAACAAATTATTTGTAGATAGGGAAGCATGGAGGAAGTGAAAGGAGGGCTGGGGAATAGGGGAAAAAATAAGAACCAAGATACATCATGTAATGGTACAAGATCCCAATGATGAATGTAACTGTATTATATACCTAGAATGTATAAATAAATAAACTTAATAAAAATTTAAAAAGTAGGACACTAAAAATATATGTTGATACAAGGAATATGCTTTAAACATGAAAATGCAGCAAAATTGTGAAAAAGTCCTCACACTGCAAATGCAAAAGATTCATCTGAATGAATAAAATAGCTTCAAGACCATGAAAAAAGTAAAAACATTACGTAGTGATAAAGTGAATAAACCAAGAAAATTTAACCCCCCTCTATCTATGTGGGTATATCTGTTAGAGAGCTTCCACTTACGCGAAGGAAGAACTAAGACTAATGAAGGAAATAATTTTGCAGTCATTGTGGAGGAGTTTAATAGTGGTATCTCAAGTATCAGAGCACATTAGACAAAAAAGAAAAAATAAGAATATAACACTCTTGAAAAATCAAATAACACCCTCAACCAAGTTGACCTAGTTGACATTTATAAAACATATCATCCTCAAAAGGAAAAGCATTCTTTAAAAGTGCACAAATAGGGCAGGGATGTAGCTCAGCGATGGGGATGTAGCTCCTCGCCTGCCTTGAAAGCACGAGGTCCTGAGTTTGATCCCAGTACTGGGAAAAACAAAGTGCACAAATAAACATAGCACACTTTTTATTAATTAAATTTTCTTCCTGGTACTACATGAAAACAACAACAAAAAAAGGTACACATTAATGGAGTACTTTGTGCTGTTCCAAGACATGTATGCATTGTGTAATGTTTCAGTCAGGTTAAATGTATGCATCTCCTCAAGGAACTACATTTCTTCATGGTGAGAACATTCAAAATCCTTCTAGCCCTTTGAAACATAAATGGTCATCTATGGCCACTGTGCTGACAAGCAGCACATCAGAACTTCTTAGGCTTAGTAGCTAACCTACCCACACTCCTTGAGCCCTGAAAACCACCACTCTCCTCCAACTTCCATGAGACTAAATTCAAAGTCCACGTAAGAGTGAGATCACTTAACATAAAGTTCAATCCACTTTGTCCCGATCAATAGTATTACACCCTCTGTATGACGGAATAGTACTCTGCAGTGTATGTGCACCACATTTTCTTTCTCCTTTGATCGATTGATCACATATCCTGGCTCTTATGAACAGTGCAGGGAGTGCAGGGGTCTCTCCAACATGCTGACCTCACTCACTTTGAATATATACCCAGGAGTGGAATTGCTAGATAGTAACACACCTTTTCATCAGTTTATACTTAAAATTACACCCTGGAGTACTGCACTACTGTAAAGAAAGATAAACTTGAGGCATTCATAGGTAAATGAGTGCAACTTGAGGCCATGATATTGAGAACAGTCAACAACACCCAAGCTTAAATATCACATGGTTTCTCTTACACAAGAAATATATATATATATATGGAGGGAGAGAAAATGGAAGAGAAGGTAGACAAATAGCAGGTAGGGAGATAATCTTGGAACTTTTTTTCAAATGGACAGGAGAACAAGAAAGGGGGCAGGGCCGGGAAGAGAGGGAAAAGGTTTGGAAAAAACTGAAGGGGAAAGAGGCGAAAATAGAGTTTTGCACACGGGAAAGGGTCCAAGAGTTGGAGGGAGCAGGGAGGGAAGGAAAGACAGAAAATGCAAAAAAAAAAAAAAAAAAATAGGATGTATTAGGTGCCTGTACCAACTCCCCATTGATAAATATAATCATTGTGTACTCCACATATGTGCTAATGAAAGTATAAATAAAATTGCATTGCATATTGACATTGGCTAACCACAGCAATGTTAAATTGAAACCAACAAAAGTATCCGAAAGTCCTCCCCCAAATATTTGGAAACTAAACAACACAAGTCCAAACTACATACGGGTCAAAGAAGAAATTTCAAGCAACATTGCAAATAGTTCAGTAAGTGGTAAATAAAATGATACATATCGACTGTGTGGAATGTTACTAAAGCAGAGCTTATAATAGAAGCATATGTTTACCTGCTTATTGGGGGAAAGATAAAAAATCAAAGCAATGGCCTAAGTTTCCACCTTAATAACCTGGAAAACAGGAGAACACTGAACCCCAAGTAAGGGGAAAGAAGAAAATCAGAAACATGAGAACAGAAACAACAAATATGGAAACAAGGACAAAAGTAAATAAAGCCCAGTCTGAATGTAAAATAGAGCTGGGAAGTGGTCGCTGCATTCTAACAACGAGTACAAAGCAGAACAGAGAAAAAGATCAGCAGCTCTTCTCGGATCCATCAGACAAGCGAGTTTAGGGAAACTGGAGAGCAAATATTTGGAGGCAGAGAATCGGAGCCTCACAGGAAGCGCCTTCTCAGGCACCTCCGCGGGAGCGAGACTGGACTGAAATAGTGCGGCGAGTCCGCTGAGAAGTTGCTGGAGCCTCTGACTCAACTCGCCTGAAAGCTGAGAAGTCCCGAAGGACAGGATCATTCAGGATCCCCACGCTTTCGCGTAAGTTTTACTTCCAAGAGCTTTACTGCTTTCTCACAGTAAAGACCAGGACCCCTCAGGCTTCCCGCAGAGCAGAGGAGGAGACAAGAAACCGTGCTGAAATACTCCAGAGCCTCATTTCCTATTTAACAAGGTCAGTCTTCAAGAGAATGTGTTTCAGCAGAGCCTGACCCACTGCGATTTTGTCAGGGACGGAGTGACCCGGGTGCGGGTGCGGGGCAGGGAATATCCAACTCTAACGCTCTACCGTCACCCCGGGGGCTGAAAACACCCGGGAAGCGCCTGTGAGGTTCGTAGGCCAGGGCCACAGGCTCAATGAAAGGCTGAGCCGAACCTCAGAAAGAGAAATGTACACACACACTGATTCGATTCTCTCTCTCTTCCTTCCTCTCTCCCTTCCTTCCTCCCTTCCTCCATTTGCCCATCCCCAGATATCAATATGCTTCCAAATGCTATTCAAATACTAGCTCGATAACACCTCTAATTTCACTTTTGGCCCCTGTCATTTAAAGCAGCTTCCATCCATCTCTGTTGCTCCGTCTGAGCGTGGAAATGACTCAGCTTGCGCTAATGGAACATAAAGGCAAATTTCCCCTGACCGAAGTGAAACTTGTTCTCATCCTCCCAAGCAAGTGCCCAGGAGCAGCTTCCCCCATAGCCAAGTGTGAGCGAGGAGTCCTGGAATTTCAGTCCTCGAAGTCCCCCTCCAGGGTCCTGAGACCCAGGCCAGGGAGGGGCTGGAGCGTAGACAGGAAGCCCCGGGACAAACAGAGAGCCTGGGTCCTCATAACTCCACGGGCCAGCGCCAAGGCGGGCAGCACTTTGGACCACCCGGGCGTGGGCAGCCGGAGCCCTTACTGTTCAGAACTCGTGGATAGATAGCATTGCTCGCGATGGAAACCACCACCGACGTTTCCCAGAAGACAGGATCGCGTTGTTTCTCACTCAGTAGACAATGCACATGGCTAAAGAGAAGTGCCCTGGGAACTTAGTCCAGGAAGTTCATCTAGAGCTCCTTGTCCAGAGACTGAATCCCTTTTTAATGAAAGACAGATCAGTTATTTCTCCTTTCCATGCTTTGGTTCATCACCAGTTCTAACACTGAAACTGATAATAGTAAATAAATAAATGTATCATCACATGAGACTCAGCAGATATGTAAATGACTGACAATGCCCACCCCAAGTCAATTATAATTAAATTTATCATACCTCCAGCTTGGTGTGCTTCATTATGAGGAAGTGAATTTTCAGATGACTTTGAATTAATGCTAAAATAACATAGCAGTTCCCAGCTCCTTCCCTTGAAGCACTATTAATAGTCAGCCCACGGTGGTGATTTAAATTGCATCCCATTTGGAACTCAGCCATAGGAATGCCCCTACAGAAGTGAATGAAAATGAAGTGGCTTAATATGCTTATAGCCCTCTTTTAAACTGCTTACCAGCAAAGTTCTAGATGAATATGTTTATAATCAGACACAGTAATATGTTGAGTCTATTCTGGGCAGGATCCCAAGGGACTTAGAGTAACACACAGCTTCCAAAAACACAGGAGAAAGCTCCCCACCTATGGGAGAAGCACCTGTTAAAAGTTGGTTTTGTAAGCCTGTTAGCAAAGCTTGACTCCAGGAAAGAAAATCAAATGTTCTCCCCAGGATTTGTGTCCTGAACAGGTGACAACGGCAGGTAGTGTGGCCAGCTAGTGACCACATCGTTCCTCAAAGCAGTGATGATGTTGTTCCCACCTCTCTTCCCATGTGATGCCTTTGGGTCCGCCCAGCCCACTACGATGCCTGGCCTGACCCCAAGCCCCAACCTCAGGCTTTTCTCTGACAGGATGCTAGGAAATTCCATCTGTGGTTAAGATGGCGAGAATCCAGTTCTTCCACTAGTAATGAGGACTGTGATTCCCACACACACTCAGTCTCCTGCCCTCCTTCACAGTCTCAGAGGGTGTCAATGCCATGTTGGGGACTGAGAGCTCCAGGATTTTCCCAATCTGTAATGGGAGGGAAGAGAGAGGGAGAAAAATGAGTGTAATGAGCACGTCCAAGGAGAATCATGGCAAGGTGGGTTGATGCTTCTGTCCAACTGGGAAAGACGATTGCTCTTAGCCCCAGCATTTCCACTGTGCCCTGCTTTTGTGACACCTCTCCTGAGCATTTCCAGAGTGCCCTAGAATGTCACACAGAGATTCAAACATAAGGCTTTGGACCCAGTCAGATCTGAGTTTGAATGAAAACTCTTGCCGTTGGGAGTTGTATATACTTAACAGCTCTGATTCTCAATTCTTTAAAATGCATAGGAGCTGAGGGTATGGCTCTGGGGTGGAATACTGGCCAACATACATGAAGCCCTGGTTCTATCTCTAGCACTGCAAATAAATAAATATTGTCTAATGTGCATATGACTGAAGGATGAGAAGTGCTAGAGGGAGCAGCTGGCACATCGGAGTGCACCATAAACAGTTGCTATCCTCATCCTCATCCTCACCCCAGGGCTCACTCCTCTCACCTCCCTCTCTCTAATGTTGCTGCACACAAATGCACTTTTCTTCAGAACAGAATGGTGGCAGAAGTTTAACATTTTGAAGCTGGACAGGTTTGCTTTAAAAGCTGGACCTTCCACCTTCCAGCAGAGTGAAAATTCAAGTATAAATGGAGCTTTAAACATTGGCTTTGCCAATGAGCATGCATTTGAACCTCAGTCTCTTTCTCGTGTCAAAAGGGATACAATGGACCTTCTCATAAATTGCAAGAGAGTCTAATTAGACAGTATCTCCCTAGCCCCATGACTAACTCATAGTGCCAGATCAGTTTTTGTTTACCATTTGTTCTCCTTTTGCCCTTCAAAGAGTAATATCCCCCTAGCCAGTATTCAAGCTCCTATCCAACTTGCATGCTGGTCAATGGGGGCTGCTACAAGGAAGTGTGGCTCTTAAACAGCAGATCTTCGCTCCACATCCTTGGGAGTCTTCAAGTTCCAGGTAAGGACACAGTGGCGAGGTCAGCTTCCGGGAGGCGCTTCTCCAGGCTGCAGACTGCAGGCAGACATCAGGCCGTGCCTTCACGCAGGAAGGTGAGCGAGTCGGATCTCTGGCGTCTCCTTTCCTGAGCCCCCATCCTGTTCACCGGGGCTCCGCCTTCAGGGCCTAAGCACCTCCCAAGGGCCACGGTTACCCCTACCCCACACTGGAGGTTCGAATCTAACGTATTAACTTTGGGGGGACAAAACACTCAAATTTAAACCATAACAAATGGGTTCCAATTTAACCTTTAGCCTCATCCTCCGTTTTTCCCCTAAGATGCCCTCCTTTCTCTGCGGAACCATCAGCTCTGTGTCATGCTCATCCCTACGCATTACCACCCCACGGGCCACTCTACCATGGCCACCCCTCTCACGGGAAGGCCACCTCGAGTGCCTCCCCACGCTCTGGCTTCTTCAAGAGGCCCCTTCTGCGGCTGCACACATGGCCCCCACTTCAGTGCTGAGCATTTGCAGTTCCTATGCTCTTCTCAGAGGCTGCCTGGATGCACCAGCTCCCACCTGGTTGTTCAGCCTCGAGTGTCTAATTTCCCACTGCCCAGACCCTGGGCTTCCTGTGGGCTGGAGACTCAGGACAACGCTCTCCCATACATGGCCGTGGAAGCTTAGCGGCCCCTCTCCTCCCTGATGTCCTCACTACTCATGTACTCTCCAGTTACTGCCTGGGTGACCTGTTCATTTCCTCTCTATTCATGGCATGGTCAAAATGTATAGTGAATGGTTAAAATTAAAAGAAATATCACAGTAAAGGACATGTTGCCACTGATGCTTCCCAAATCCCCCCTCACTTGGAACACACTTAGCCCCTCATGCTTGCCACTTCCTGAGGCAGCTCTGGAGTCCTCTTTCGTGAATGCCTGTAGTCTCTCTGCCCTGGCTGCCTCCATGTCCTGAATCGATTCAAAACATCTGTCTTTCAGGCCAGAGATTTAGCTCAGTGGTTCACAAGCACAAGGTCCCCAAGTTCAATCCCCAGTACCAAAAGAAAAATCTATCTTTCATGGTCATTTGACTGGGAGAAGAGCTGCAGAAGCTACATTCTTCCAGATCTGGTGAATAAGGCGGATGGGGACACAGCATCATGTTTTTAGGAGCCTGCCCTTCTGTTGGAGGTCACTCCACAGTAACTTCCACATTCATTTTCTTATCACAGAAACATTCAGGAAGGAGGACTTCCGGAACCGATCCAGAAAGTGGCACTAATGATGGGCTGAGTGTGTTCTCAACAACAGGAAGTGTTTTGAGAGGGCTTAGGGGAAATACATCTTCTACCATAATAACTTTTTCATTAGACACACTATATTTTTGATTTGCCTATTTATTTTGATGATTGAGCAAGACCATCTTTATTAAACAGGACATAGCTGGAAAAGAAAACGCTTTTCAAACTGGGGTGTGTATATTTATGACCCACAAAATTGAAATTCTCAAATCAAAATTATTCTCTTCCACTTTATTATTTTCAATACATAAATTATCCTATAAATGAGCCAGAGAAACTGGTGGCTTTGGTATTTGCTGTCATTTTATGAGCTATTCACTTCCTCCCTGTGATTAGCATCATATCTATCCCATGACAAATCCCAGCCGGACACCGCCACTTGTGTGAGGCTCAGCGGAAGGGTCCCAGGGGCCCTGCACCTGCTGCTGTGAACCCCTCAGCACAACTTGGGGTGCGAGATGAGGGTCGTGTGAGGTCCTTGCTTCCCCTCACCCAGCCTGTGCCTGGAGGCGGGGCTCTCCTTCTATCTTTAGGCAGGAGAGAGATGAAGCAAAAGGACGGGTCACGATTAGAAATTTTAAAATTTGGATGTGTGTATTTATGAATGATAAAAATGAATTAAATGAACCATGAATCTTTTCTCTCAAGCTATGTCTAACCCCTGGATGAATCGGAACCCCCTAGCCTCAGCTGCAGTCCAGGCCAAAGGGACAGGTCTCCCCTTTGCAGGGAAAGTCTGAGTGAGACAGGACGAGTCATCTGTGAGGCTGTTTTCCCACTTTGACCATCTGGCAGTGTGGAGGAGAACAAGTTAATCTGCCACACTCTCTGATGCTGACAGGAAATACACAGCCCCCAAGTCAAAAGCAAAGAACTGCCCTGTTCTCAGTAAATACAGCCTCAGGATTATTACCCAGGCCTTGGATTGCTAGACTCGCAAATCCCACTGAGCATCACAGAAGTGCAGCTGAAGGCTGCAGGTGCCGGGGGTGCAGGGCAGGAGGAGTGGGATCCTGAGTCCTGCGGTGCTCAGCTGTCCTGCCGCGCTGTGTCCAGAGGAAGATGGGCTGCAGCAAGAGCCTCATGGCGCCTCGCTTTCCAAAATGCAGAGCCGGCCCGGTGAAGGAAGAGCCTGGCCCTGAGGCTTCCACCACTGAGCAGGATGAGCAGAGGCAGGAGGGGTCGCTCCCTGTGCCACCGGGAACCCCTCCACCGTGCCCCCCCATGCACTGTGCCTACCCTTGGCCGGACCTTTATGTCCAGTGAGAGTGGAAGTGCTTACTTCAGAGACTTCTGTTACTGCTGGAAACGAACAAAGGAAATAGTCTTTTAATGAATGCAAAACTACACAAAATGGAAAGCAAAATGACCCAATTCGAAGACATTTCATTTGACATTTATCTCAGAGCAATTAAATTTACTCTTTTGGGAGAATTCATTGTTTAGTTACAATTATCATTCATATCGCCTGACTTTGTTGGCAGAAAAATCTGAGAATCTAAGAATATAATGATTTGTAAGAGCCAAACTGAGAAGTCCTGACTTAGTAAAATGCAATCAAAGTCTGGATTTTTGTCAGATGCTGTGCCACAAAATGGTCGACAAACCAGAACCACAAGCAACTGTTTTATCTGTGTACTGATATTATCAAATATTTATAATTAAATTTTTATTTAACTCATTTCAGCTGCTTGCACTGAATGATACTTCTTATAAAAAGGAAAAATTAAAAATAACACAGTCAGACAGTAGGGCATTAATATATTTTTAAATACAGTAGTTTCATAGAGGTGACATTTATATCTTAAAATGAACTCTGAATACAGTACAGTTTGATGGTTGGCATTGAGCTTTTAAACCTAAATGTTGATCTACAGTACATGACTGTGTCTATGGGAAGACCAAAAAAAGGTGCATATTTGGCTACATAACCACAGTACAGAAAAGAAAGTCCCTTCTCTAGGGGTCTGCCAGAAATCCTGCTGACTGCTGAAGAAAATAGAACTGTGGTGTTGTGATAAGAAGAATTGAACAAGGCCACATGACAACTGCGTACTTAGCTGCAAGGCTTTTCTGTGTGTGGAAAGCGGATGCTACATCTGCTCCCTGACACCCATCCAAAGGCAATCTTGCCTGGGAAAAGGAAGTTTGCTGATAAGACCAAGAGAAGGACCCTGATGTGGAGACGCCATCCAGGGTTACCCAAGGGGCCCAGCGTACGCCCAAGAGCAGGGCTGGACGTCAGTGAGATAGCATAGGAGGACTTTCCAGCCTCAGTCCGCTGCAAAACGCTCAGGAGAACACCTCCTGTGAGCTGGACTCAGAGACACGAAGAGCGGAGCGACGCTGCCCAGGAGCTGGGGGCGGAGGAGGTGGAGGAGTATTCACCGAAGGAGGTAAAATTTCAGTTAGACGGGAGGAGTAAGTTCAAGCGATCGATTGGACCACATGGTAACCATAAATAATATTATAATCTTAAAACATCACTAAGTGTGTTATCACTGGAAAAATAAGTACATAAGCTGATGCATATGTTAATTATCTCGATTTTGCCTTTCGACAACATATTTCAAAACATCATTTTCCACAGTAAACATATACAATTTTTATTTGTTAGTTAAAAGAGAAGCATTAGGTTGTCTAAATAAAAAGAAAAATTTAGCATGTATGTCCATCAACAGATAAATGGATAAAGAGAATATGACACACAAACTTATGTATCACAGAGTTTCTCTAAAATATAAATCTAAATAAAATAAAAAGCAAAATAAAAGATAACGGGAAGCAGGGAGATCGCTCTTTCTCAAATGGGATGGAGATCAATAGATGGAGGAAGGAGGGAGAAAGGGGAAGGAACTGTAAAGGGGATAAAAATAGAATTAATATGTGTTATATGGGCCAAGTGTGGTGGTGCACGCCTGTAATCCCAGCACTAGAGAGGCAGAGGCAGGAGGATTGCTGCGAATTCAAAGTCTGCCTGTGCTACATAGTGAGTTTAAGGCTGGTATGAACTACACGGTGAGATTCTGTCTCAAAAAAAAAAAAGCATGGGTTATGTACCTGTGCCAACTGCACACTGGGAATGCAAGCATTATGCACGGCACATGTACATGAACTTTTTAAAAAGAGCAGCAGGGTAGAGCCAGAGAAAGATGAGTTTCTAGAGCAGAGGTGGGACAGCGCCCTTCAGAGGTGGAGGCGTGGGTCACGGAGAGCAGGCAGCCACGGGAACCTGAGGGACAGCCACGGGTCCTCCCCAGAGCCCCCTGACAGGGACACGGCCCTGCTGCTAGCTCTCACTAACCCAGGGCAACTCTGTGTGGACTTCCGGCCTCCAGAATCCCAGATCACGTATTCCTCTTGTTTGCAGCCACTGCGCTTGCGTTGATGTGTCGCAGCAGCCTCATGCAGCACATCCAAGTGTGCACTTTCTTAATCTTTAAGATACCTCTGTTGGGTCCCTACCAGTCTTCCTACTCTTCCTCGTCCCATGTGAATGCCCTTCATGAATCCTTTTTTTTTTTGACACCCTGCATCCAGTTCATCAGCCAATCTTTTCTGCCCTATCACCAGGATGTGATCGTTCCTGATGACACACAGCACAAGCCCATGATCCCAGCAATATCGTGCCCAGCATAAAATCAAATAGCAATTGCTCCCTGGCTGGTCTGGCAGCGCTGACACAGACCCCATGTCACTCACAGAAGGAGGGACTCTTGAAAACCCAACTCAAACCTTGTCCCTTCTGCAATCCCTCCTCGCTCAGCCTGAGCCGGCATCCCCTCTGCTCCTCCTCCCCAGGCTGTGCCAGGCTGTCCTCCTCCCAGCTGCCCATTGCCTCTCCACCCAGGGCATGGTCTCACCTGGTTCTGGAGCCCACCAGGCAGCAAGGACATAGGGAGAAGACAGCATCTCTGGGCCTAAGAGAGAGGCCTTGAAAGACCCAACCATGCCAATGTTTTGGTTTTTCACAGACAAAATGGAAAATCACATCGTTCAAACAGTTGAGTCTGTGGCACTTTGTCTTGCCAGCTCTAGCAAACCATGCTCCTGTCATGCCTCCCAGGTCATTGCTCAAAACTACCTTCTCCACATGGCCCCTGCTAAGCATGCTTTCACCCTCTCTGCTTCTGAATGTTTACATCTGTTTCCCTTATTTGTGTTTGCAGCAGGTTCATTCACAGAGCCAGGCACTCCTCGGGGCCAGCTGCAGGTTGGAGACATCAGCAGAGGGTGGCGATGCAGACCAGCATGGTAATGCTGTTGCCTGTTCCAGTGGAGGAGAAGATGGACTTGTGCAGCTGCCTGCTGAGTTCTGAGGCAGAGGAAGGTGGAGGAAAATGACTGACTCCCAAATAGGGCTGCTCATTACCTCAGAGTGTCTCGGACCTACCCACCCAGCCGTGGGCCATGACAGCCCTGGCAGGCTCAGGACCGTGGGCCAGCCACCCAGATAAGACACACCTTGAAGGAGCAGAGTAGAATTGCACTTCCTGCAGGGAGTGCTCAGCCAACAGGGACCTCTCACTCAAGGTCCAATTTAGGCGGCTGATAAATCCTAGGGTGGACAGGAAAGGGACAGGACTGGGAGGACTGCACTAATTGAGCCCTTCCCACTGGAAGGAAACACCAGGAAGGGAAAAGAATGTTTCCACCCTAACATCTTCTTTCAAGAACAAACTCAACTGCTCCTATTTCCAAAAGACGGTTGACCCTGCAGGCAGAATCGGTCTATTTTTCCTCTGAGTTCCTTACAGTCACAGGGTCTTGGAGAGAACTTACCCTCTGCTCCTTGTATCATAGATATCTGTTAATATACCTAGTATCCCTGAATAAGCTGCAGGCTCATGACGAAATGGTCTTTCTCTGTGATTTGTTTTACTTCAGTAACTAACATTTTGCCTTTGGGGCACACTAAAATCCTAATGACAAATAAATGACTGGAATGTGACTAAGGTTAAGCAAAACAGGCTGATTTGCATCTATGACACAAGTGTAAGTTTCTTTCTCTGTGGCCCGGTGAATTCACACTCAGTACATGGGATGCTGCTCCAGAGTCCTGGCCAAGTGCTGCTCCTATATCAAAACCTGAATGATACAAAAAGAGTTTGGAATCTCACAAGGCCAATTCACTGCAGATCCTGAAAACACAGCTTCAGTATTTCAGTCTAGCTCCTAGATTTTTAAAACAACGAACTAATTACTCAACAGCACGTCGAACAATGTGAATTGCTCATGATTTTTAAAGGAAATCTGAATATTTTCTGTGCTTGAACATCTCATTTTATCCAATGTTGGCAACAATGAATTATTGATATGGCTGAGCAATTTCCATTAAAAGACAAACTTTACAAAAAGCTTCTAATTCAGAAGTCAGTTATAGCTTTGGTAATGTAAATTCCAACTTTGAGAAATACCATTCACTTCACTGCAATGAAAATATTGTGAGTTAAAAGATTACAAGTAATATTTTTTCTTCCAATTAGGGGAAGTTGGTTGTTGGAAGCATGAATTACCAGACATCATTTCAGAACAAAATGATATAAGGAAATAACCTAATTGAAATCTGTGACTTTATTATTCCACTTGGTAACGTAATTTGGAAAAAGAATTTTCATGACTATTGAGCATAAAGGAGCTGTTTCTCGACCAGTCTGTGACTGTCGATAGGATTCACCCTTGAACTTCCTGGGAGCTTCTCAACACTTCCGCCACGTGTCTGCAGTTGCATCCAGTCTGTGATCTCTATCCCTCTTCACACATGAGGCCGTCGTCCCTCAAGGCAGCGACTATCTGCTTCAACCAGCGCCGTTTCTGCATGGTGTGGACACCTAATAACTGACCTTCCTGGAACCAGTAATGCTCCTGCGGTCTTCATATTCCTCAGAGTCTGCCCTGCTCAATCACTGTAGGGGAAGATATTTGAATAATCAGCTCATTCTTGGAGTGCATTTAAAAAACTGTCACAGGCCATTAAAAATATTCCACATTGAGAAGAAAGTGACCTAAAGTTAGAGAATCTAATTTAAACATGTTTTAAAATTTTAAATATTTGTTATTGTAGTTGAAGACAAAAAATTTCTTCAAATGCCATAAGATATCCAAAATTAAATCAACCCTTGAAGATATGATTTTATCGAATCAACATATTCAATGTGATGAAACAGGCATTGAGTAGCCCCAGTGCTGAAGAAAGGCTGATACTAATGGTTCCCCAAAACAGTGGTAGACAAAGAATTTCCACCATTTAAAAGTGAGAGACCCCAAAGCTCAGAGGTCTTCGCATAAACATCCAGAAGCACCACTTATCCTATGCTTTCCCAGAGATGGGTCACCTCCATGACACAGGCAGACTTCATGGGACAGTTGTCTCATCTATGGAAAATGGAAAACAAAAACTCCACACACCAGTGCAAGGATCTACTGTGGACCGAACGGTGCCCCCTAAACTCAGGCTGAAGCTCTGAGCTCGGATGTGACTGCACTTGAGGACAGCACCTCTGAGGAGCTAACGAAGGTCACAGGAGCATCACTCTGCAGCATGGATTCCTTCAAGAGTATTTAGAGAAATTGTGCCGGGCCCTGTGTGGGGCCCAAAGTCCTTCCTTGATGAGCAAAGGAAGTGGATCCCTGCCTTCACAGAAACTCTGTTACACAGGAAGGACAGAATTAAACACACGAGAATATTGATACAGGCGATGTAATGGGTGGTAGGTCATACACCGAAACCATGGAGAGACTACCTGGGGAGGAGATGATGGGCCCTGGGGCCAAGGATAGCTGCTCAGGGCTGCTTACCCACAGAGGGCCAAGTGGGTGGGATGGAGGCAGGTGAATGGGGGGCTAGGCTGGGAGAGCAGAAAGGGCCCACACCTGCAAATGGGCCAGGAGCCACAGCGGCCGGGCTTTTCGGAACAAAATGGTGGTGCATCAGGAGTGGGGGGCAGAGAGAGCCCTAGATCCAGGTCGTGGGGTGCTGCAAAGGCATGTGAGGGCTGGTTTCATCTACACACAGTCAGCGTCTTGGGAGGGCTGAGAACAGGTGATCCAGTGATGGGATCCAGGTGCAGCTGAGTACGTGACCTCAGCTTCACTGTGGCACAGGGCTCCAGAAAGAACCTGCGGGAAAAGTGGGCCAGTGGGGCTGCACCCCAGCCACCAGGCGTGGTACGGGGAAGACGGCGCCTCACCCCTGTGGTGAGGGAGAGAGCACCCCTGAGCCACCTGGGTGTGGGTGGAAAACTAGGCCTGGGAGGAGGGAAGGACACACACGAGGTCAGGCTGTACTTGGGGTAGAACTGGCAGGTGTGTTACAAATGGTAATAGGCAGCAGCTCTACCTCCTGCTTGGGAGGGAAGTGACATGTACAGTAGGAAATAACACAAATCTATTAATAAAACGTCGTGCTAGACTAATCGATTTTGAAAATTATTATCCAGGATAATTGGAAATGTTTTGATAAGTCACTTTTTCATTGCAGGAATAATATAATTCCTCCTATTTCACTAGAACAAATGAAAGCAAGGTATTGCTTGGGGATTGGAGAGAGTACTGATTACTATTTTATTCAACATTAATCAGTTTACCCTTCAGATTTCTCTTATATGAATCAAATGTGATATGCTTATACTTTACCCTCAATATCACAAGTGCTTATTTGCCTTGGGTATTTTTCTAAGGTTTCCTTCCATGCATCTTCCCCAGAGGGATCTGTATTTCGTTCCTTCAGTTCAAGTTGCCACAATCATTTTAATCACATGTTGCTCCTGTTTTATATCTTATTTTCTCCTTTCTTTTTCTTTCATTTGCCTTTCTGACAAGTACATTATTCGTTTACACAAAACGTAGCTTTCCACAAACACAACATAAAAATAGCATTTTGGCCACTTTTCCAAGGGTTACAGTTCTGAGAACAGACTCTATGCTGTCGATACATTGATAAAACCACATAGAGCTCCCAATAAGATGCCAGACATCCGAATTTGGAGTTACAGTGCTTTGGAGTTTTGACCATCACCACATTTCAACTTGTCATCTCATCTTAATAATTAATGCCCCTAAATTATTTCTCCTTCAGTTTTATTTGCTCTAGTGAGACTCTATTCCCAGGGAGGAGGCCACTTGTTCTCACAAACTGCTCATTGGCCCTCTACGATTCCTCATCTGGGAGGTGATTTTCTCACAGCAAATATTTTCATAAACTCCTCTCTTTTCAATTTACAAAATGATCGATTCATTTTTAGTGTATCTTTCACTCACTCACATGAATATAAAAATAAATTATAACTCACACCATTCCATCAATACAGTAGTGCCACAATTTGGGGCTAGTATTGAAGATGCTGTTTCTACCACGTTGTTATGAAACAGACTGTAAGGACGGCAACAATGGTCTCTGCATGTTCCTGCATTCGTCCCCTTCTTGAAATGCAGCCAAACCCAGAAGTAATTAAAAGTCCACTTATTCCAGGGATGTGCATGATATCCAACTTTGTACTCCCATGAATTTCTGTAAGAGTGGAAAGGAGATGTTTCTGACTTCCCAAAAGCTTTGGCAAAGCCTGTGGGGGACCAGCTCTTCCTGAAGGGCTCTCTCCAGGAAAGTCATAGGCACAGTGTGACCTCCTGCCTGATCAGAGTCAGCTGTACATTAAGCTCTTGTGTGGGGCAATACTGCCAAGGTAATTTCTCATCTCTTGAAGCCCTGATGGTTCATAAAATTTTGAGAAGAGATTTTTTGGTACTAGGGATCAAACTCAGGACCTTGTGCTTGTGAAGCAGGTGATGGCACCACTGAGCTAAAGCCCCAGCCTGAGAAGAGATTTTTTTTAAAAGTTCGAATTAGCCTCAGTTCCACAGATTACATACAACTAGCAAGGCAACAAATTTGATTTCGTTTTCTCATCTAGAAATCCCTATCCTCTACATGGAATAGCACGATCATAAGTAGAAAGACATACTTACAAATCTTATTTCTTTAATAAAGTGTACTGAGGTTTATATTAGTATGGATCTCACTCTGACTTTGATCTGCACTTCAATGCCATGGGGAAGGAGCAGCAGGTATGGACTGTGTTTGTCAGTTTTCTGTCACTGTGGCAAAATCCCTGAGATAATCAACTTATGAGGAGGAAAGCATTCTTTTGGTTTGTGGTTTCTGAGGTCTCAGTCCATGGTCACTTGGCCCCAACACTTTGGCCCTGTGATGACACAGGACTGCACAGCAGGCAGCACAGCAAGGCAGTGGAGATCTGTCCGCTGTTGCAGCAGGGAAGTTAAAAAGGAAAGAGAGGAAGGGGCGGAGTCCTGACATCCGCTCAAGGTCGCATCCCCAGGGCCCAGCTTCCTGCCACTGGGCTCCAGCTCTTAAGCCAGTTCCACCACAGGCTGGGGACCATGCCTTCAACTCATGGCCTTTGAGGGGTTTTTCAAGATCCAGACCACAGCACTGGTTCTATTTCACAGATGAGGAGCAAATGAGTGAGAAATTAAAAAAATAGATGATTCTCCAGGGTACCACATTCACACTTGCAAAGTCACACTGCACACAAGTGTGTGACTCCCTGCAGCTCCTCTGCCCCTGCTGGCCACTGGCCCACTGCTCTTCCTAGCCAGGGCAAGGTTCAGCGGAATGAGGGGCAGAAAAGCCTACACTGCTGGGTCCTGTCTCTCTTCCTGTTACGTGGCTTCATGCTGCACGGTTATCTCTGTTAAAACTGTGAGATTTGTTTATTTTTGGTAATTGTGGGTTGGCATGCTGCAGACCAACTCTCATCAAGAACAACTAGCAACACCTTAAAAAAATAAAAAGAAATTGGTGGTGGTGATGGCTTCAAAACAAAGTAAATTTTATTACTTCCTCTCATGTTTAGTTCTTACCAGTTTTGTTGTGCTGTCTTTGGTGTGTTTGTCTCCATACGTAAAATTGTTTATTTTCATCTGTGATTTCACATTCCTCATTATTAAAGTTTTAGGCCTTAATTTTTAAATAGCGCCTGTCCCCATTTTTCCCTTCTCTCAAACGTTCCAATTCCACATCTGCTAAACCTCTTCCCACGTATTTCCCAGGCTCATATCTGTATTTTCAAGAAGACTTCTTAGTACAAATAAGCATGAAATACAATATTCAGAATGTCGAAAGAAAGTAAATGTCAGTTCAGACTTCTACAGTAACTGAAAACATCATTTATAGACAAACACAAAATAGAGACATTTTCAGATAAAGAAAGAGTGGTAGAATTTGCAGCGAAAATACACATCCTAAAGAAAATTATCTCAGAAGGAAGAACAAGATATAGGAACTGATGAAAACCAAGGAAAATTACAGATTTTGGGGTGAATCTGTGCAAAGTAATAATATTATATGGCTTTACATTGTCTAGAAAAAGAAAATGCAGAGCAACAAAAGCATAAAATCTGAGGAGAGAGTAGACAGAGTTAACCTGTGGTAAGATCATGGAAGGCAAACGTAGGAATTTATAGTAAACTTTATACAGCAGAGATTCATGTTGTAAATTATAGAATAACTACTGAAATACATTAAGACACTGTACAAATGATAAACTATTACTTTGAAGAAATGAAGCAATGAAAATATGTAATACAAATTAGTCAAGAAAGGCAAAAAGTAGAAATACAAAGCAAACAATAAAATGATGGCATAGTATAAACCCACTAAATACTCCAAATGAAGTATTTATCAAGCGTTATACAAACAACAATTGTAGGAAGTCTTACAGTCAAGCCAGAGGATTCAGACTAAATCATTTGAAAAATCTCTACAAACTTTTTGGAAAAATACTTTATAAAACAGATATACAGTAGAATTTTCTGTATAAAGAGTGTCATCGAAGAACTTGCAGGGGAAGCATACATATGGCAAAATATTGAAACTTTGCCCCTGAGATCAGAAGTGGCTTCAAGAAGCCACTTTCCTTAACACTGTACCAGTGCTTCTGGACAAAGCATGCAAGACTTTAAAAATCAGGCTTAAAGGGGGAAAAGAAGAAATATATGTTACTACTTGCAAATATCACAACATATACTCCATGAAGCAAAGTAAATCTGCAGGCAAACTACCAGTAGGTAAATTTAGCAAGGTTTGCGGACAGAATTTGTGCTAGCTAGTTGGAACTGCCTGAACAAAACCAGCCGAGTGGCTTAAATAATAGAAGTTTGCAGTCACACAACTCTGGAGGCAGGAAGTTCAAGATGAAGGCTTTGGCCGAGTTGGTTTTCCTAGAGATTTTTCTCCGTGGCTTGCAGACCTGGTCGCCCTCTAGCTGCCTGTCACGTGGTCGTCCCCGTGCTTGTCCTCATTTCCGGTGTCTCCTTTCAAGCCCTAACTGCCTGTTTTTATAAGGAAGCCCATCCTACTGAGATGAGGCCCCACCCTATGACCTTATTTAACCTTAATGACCTCTTCAAAGCCTTTATCCTCAAATACACTACGATTTTGAGGTTCTGAAAATCAGCACATCAACATACAAATTATGGAGAACACAATCAATTCTAAAAATCTATTATATATCTATACGCTCACAACAAACAACTCAGAAAAATTAGAAGATACATTTTTTTAAATATTATACACAACAATAAAAACATGAAATTTTGAGAATAACGATAAAAGGCATTTGCAAGACTTCTGTGTAGAAAATTGTAACACTATTGAGAGAAATTTTGTAAAAGCAAAAATGTGCCATGCAAATACACTGGGACCCCCAATATTTTAAACACACTAATTTTCACCAAACTAGTACATATAATCTGGATTAAAAGCCCACCTGGTTTTTATGTAGAAATTTAAATGATGAAGTTAAAATCCATGTGGAAATGCTAATGACCAAGGATAGCCAAGATAAATGTGAACAAGAAAAACATATTGGAAGAATTTTTATAAAGGTGGAAACTGACAGAGATAAACAGAACATGGAGTATTATAGAATCTAGAAGCAAACCCATGTGTTAATGGACATGGAATCTATGCAGAGGCTGGTAGTGTAGCCTCATGGAGAAAAGAACAGTTCTTGAATAAGTTATGAAGGATCAAGCATATACACACAAGGGAAAAACATTGCCCCCAACTTCACGCAATAGTAAAAATCAATCCCAAATGTATTTTAGACCTAAAGAATAAAAGAACAATGAAGTTTCTAAAGGAGGATATATTTGACCTAACCCTAACCAAAAATTTCTTAAATAGCACAATAAACATTACCTATAAAGAAATATAGTGATAAATTAGGAAACAGTAAAATTGTAAATTTCTCTTCAATATGAGAAAGTGGAAACACAACCCAGAGTAGAAATATGCTTTCAAGGCCAGGGATTTAGTTCAGTGGTTCTGCCGCCTGCATCTAAAGCGGAAGGACCCAAGTTTGATCCCCAGTACCAAAAAAGAAATATGCTTTCA